ACATTTCATTCACTCGCCTTCCATAGAAAGACGGGCACGTCCACAGACTGAACGGGGCCCCTGGTGGAGAAGGAAGATTTGATCATCTGACTCAGTCTAGTCGTTGAATCCCTCCTGAACAAACATTCTCCTGTAAATAAGGATGCACAATGGGAATCCACGAAGCTCAGATTTCCCCCAAGCAGGGTTTCTTTCTCTTGGGAAAACTTTTCTGAATGCACAATGACCGAAACATAATTCAAAATGAAGCATGTCAATCCAATCTATAGAGACAGTAGCCGGTTTAACAGTTTCTTGCCGGTCTGACGGGGAGACTGGGGGAAATGGGCAGCTACTAACGGCATTAGGAAGGTTGAGAACCACTGCCACCTGGGAAATCGGAGTAGGAGGCAGTAACAACTAATAGTAGTACGACAGTAGCAATGATCATCATAATCGTAGGAAACGAATGGTGTTCAGCTGAGAAACTCTACACTATGAAGCTCTTCCCAATCACTATCATTTGAAACAATTTGCCACTGTGGTCCAGGCTGGAGGAAAGGATGTCTGAATCATAAAGTCCTAAAGTGAGAACACATTTTAGATGTAATCCGTGTGATTACTTAGATGTTTCTAAACTCTGAAGCAAGTTGGCCTGAATACTTATCAAGTTGGCCTTAGGCATGTCAGGCAAGCTTGGGTTGTCACTTCCTGTCAAGAACTGAAGCAGTTTTGTTGCACAAGTCTTATCATCAGCCTCTTTCTACATGTCTTCCAGCCAGGTGCTTGATTGGAAGCATTAAAACAAGTTAGGTTGCAAAAGTGGAAATTAATTCTTTACCTTTCTCTTCTTTCCAAGTGGAAGTTGGTGAGGTGGGAGCAGAGAATCTGCATGGATTATTACGTCAAGAATTGCCCCATAGGATTTCCAAGGATGTAGATCTTTGTGGAAGCAGCTGCCACATCTTTTTCATATACAATGGCTGGTGATTTTTGAATTACCAACCGACTGCACATAGTCAACAAAAACATTTGCAATGAAATCATACAAACGTCAATGCAGTGAATGACTTAATACAGCCTCCAGAGCGCCCTGGTGGCGTAGTGGTTACTCTAAGGTACCCACTATAAGGTCGGCAGTTTGAAACCAACCATAGCTCTGCAGGGAAGATTTTTCGACTCCTATTTCATTGGGGCAATTCTACCTTGCCTGACACGGTTGCTGAGACAGACTGGTTGCAGTGAGTTTGGTTGTTTGGAGCCAGTCTGTAACCTCCACACAAGGATTCGGGGGCTGTGCACGTGGAAGGAGCTTGGTGGTTAATGGTTAGGATGCTAGCGTCAAGGTCAGCAGCTTGAAACCACCAGCTGCTCCTTCTGAGGAAGATGAGGCTTAAGGGGCATATTTCTACCTTGTGCTATCAGGTCCCTAGGAAAGGACTCCATGGTGGTTGATTGAGTTTTATGCAAATAGACGCTGTGGCCCAAGGGAATTGTAGTTTGTTGGTAATGTAAATAAGGTGTCAACTTGACTGGGCCACAATTACTGTTGCCTTGGCTGCTGTTATTTCTTTCCATTTTGTAATCTGATGTTATAAATCCAATCCTCTACTGTTTTGGTCCCATTTGGGAATGAATTGTCTGT